TTTTTGGATGGACATTTCATTCTGACTTAATCTTCTGCTTTTGGGCATGCTGTGTGGGCTTGGGACAGTTTTTTGAGAACACTTTTCCTTGCTTCCACCCAATGTTTTCTAACCCTGTGATTCTGAAGCAGTTTGCTTGAACTGCTCTTATCCCAGATTATATACAGGATAATCTGGATTATTTGCTAAATTATGTTTTTGGCACAGCAATTTGCTACAGACTTTAGTTCTTGATACTAGAAGTAGATCACTAAATTAAGTGCTTCTAGCTATTTTTGTTGTTATAATAATAATATAATAATATATAATATAATATAATATGTATAATATATTATAATATATAAAATAATATACTATAATATAATAATATTATAATAATATTATATAATAATATATAATATAATATAATATAATATGTATAATATATTATAATATATAATATAATATACAATAATAATACAATATAATATAATAATAATATTATAATAATATAATATAATATACAATAATATAATATAATAATATTATATAATAATATAATATAATATAATATAATGTAATATAATAATATTATATAATAATATATAATATAATATAATATAGTTGCTGTTTGTTTTATCACACCAACAGTCAACAACAGAGGGAGAGGGAAGCTTCAGAAGTTCCCCCTGTCCCGTTTGGAGGTTTTTTTTAGCATATTGCGCAATCGCGTCTGCCATTAACGAATCGATTCGTTAATATTTACGAAATTTTCGTAAATATTAACGGATTGTAGGGGGGAAATTTTGTAATTATTTTAAATATCGAAACAAAAAAACACCCCAATTACAAATCGATTTTAGAAACAATTTTTTCTTGATCAAACAGGCCTAATGTGTATGTTTACATAGATGTATATATGTGTATCTATATACCTATATCTATACTAGTGTGTATACCTGACATTGCCTGGGTTTGCATTTTGTTGTCTTTTTCCTTTCCTTCCCCCCTTCTTTCCCTTCCTTCCTCTTTATTCTCTTCTTTCCTTCTCTCTTCCTTACTTTCCTTTCTTTCTCTCACTCTCTCCTCCCTTCCTCTCCCCCTCCTCCCTTCTCTCTTCCTTTCTTTACCTTCTTATCTCTTTCTTTCCTTCCTCCATCCCTTCCTTCCTTCTTCTTTCTTTCTTCCACCCTTCCTTACTCTTTCTTCTCCCCTCCCCCTCTTCTTTCCCTTCTTTTTCTTTCCCTACCTTCCTTCCTCTTCTTTCCTTCTCTCTTCCTTTTTCCCCTTCTTTCTCCCTCTTTCCTTTCTTCCTCTGTTTTCTCCCCTCCCTCCCTTCTCTCTTCCTCTTTCCCTTCATTCTCTTTCCTTCCTTACTCTTTCTTCTCCCCTCCCTCTCTTCTTTTCTTTCCCTTCTTTTTCTTTCCCTTCCTTCTTCTTTCTTCTATTCTTTCCTCCTCTCTTCCTTCCCTTCTTTCTCTCACTCCCTCCACCCTTCCTTCCTCTTTCCTCTCCCATTCCTCCCTTCCTCCTTTCTCTCTTCCTTTCTTTACCTTCTTATCTCTCTCTTTCTTTCTTTCCTTCCTCCATCCCTTCCTTCTTCTTTCTTTCTTTCTTTCTTTCCCTTTTTCCTTTCTTCCTCTGCTTTCTCCCCTCCCCTTCTCTCTTCCTTTCTTTCCCTTCCTTGTCTTTCCTTTCTTCCATCCTTCCTTACTCTTTCTTCTCCCTTCCCTCTCTCCTTTCCCTTCTTTTTCTTTCCCTTCCTTCCTCTTTCTTCTCTTCTTTCCTTCTCTCTTCCTTACTTTCCTTTCTTTCTCTCACTCTCTCCTTCCTTCCTTTCCCCTCCTTCTCTCTCCTTTCTTCCTTCTTTTCTTCCTTCCTCCCTTTTTCTTCCTTTTTTTCTTTCTTTCCTTCTTTTTTTCCTTCTTTCTTTTTTTGTCTTTTCTGTCTTCAAATCAGTCCTACTCTTGCTTCTAATCTCCCTCTTTCCTTTACATTATTTGTTCTTTCCCTGCATTTCTCATTGATCTATTCTTTCCTTCCCCTCTTTCCTTTCTTTACCCCCTCCTTCCTTTCTCTCCTTTCTTCCTTTCCCCTTCTTCTCTCCCACCTTCCTTCTCTTTCTTCCTTCCTCCTTCTCTCTTTTTTCTTTCCCTTCTTTTTCCCTTTTTCCTTTCTTCTTTTTTTTCTTTTTCCCCCCTTCCCTTCTCTCTTTCTCTTCTCTTCCTTCTCCTTCTCTTTCTTCTCTTCTTCCCTTCTTTTCTTCCTTCACCTTTCTCCTTCTTCTTTCCTTCTCTCTTCCTTACTTTCCTTTCTTTCTCTCACTCTCTCCTCCCTTCCTCTCCCCCTCCTCCCTTCTCTCTTCCTTTCTTTACCTTCTTATCTCTTTCTTTCCTTCCTCCATCCCTTCCTTCCTTCTTCTTTCTTTCTTTCTTTTTCTTTCCTTTCTTTTTCCCTTTTTTCCTCTGCTTTCTCCCCCTTCTCTTTCTTCCCTTTCATTTCTTTCCTTTCTCCCATCCCTCCTTTCTCTTTCTTCTCTCTCCCTCTCTCCTTCCCTTCTTTTTCTTTCCCTTCCTCTTTTCCCTTCTTTCCTTTTCTCTTCCTTCCTTTCCTTCTTTCTCTTCTCTTCCTTCCTTCCTTTCCTCTCCCCTCCTCCCTTCCTCTCTTCTTTCTTTCCTTCTTCTCTTTCTTTTTTCTTTCTTCCTCCATCCCTTCCTTCTTCTTTCTATTCTTTCTTTTTTTCCCTTTTCCCTTTCTTCCTCTGCTTTCTCCCCTCCCTCCCCTTCCTTTCTTTCCCTTCCTTGTCTTTCCTTTCTTCCATCCTTCTTCTCTTTCTTCCCCTCCCTTCTCCCTTCTTTTTCTTTCCTTCCTTCCTTCTTTCCTTCTTTCTCTCTCTCTTCCTTTTTTCCTTTTTCTCTTCCTTCCTCTTCCTTTCTTCTCTCTCCTTTTCCCCTTCCTTCTCTCCCCTTCCTTTTCTCTTTTTCCTTTCCTCCTTCTTCTTTTTCTTTCCCAGGAGTAGTCCCTTTTTCCTTCTTCTTTTTCTCTTTTTCCCTCCTTCTCTCTTCCTTTCTTTTCCTTTTTCTCTTTCCTTCCTTCCATTCTTCCTCCTTTTTTCTTCTCCCCTCCCTCCCTCCCTCCCTCCCTCCCTTCACTCTTTTTCTCTCTCTTCTTTTCTTCTCTCTCCCTTCTTTTCTTTCCCTTCCTTTCTTCCTTCTCTCTTTCCTTCTCTCTCCTTACTTTCCTTTCCTTTCCTCCTCCTCTTCCTTCCTTCTTTTCCTTCCTTCCTTCTATCTTCCTTTTTCCTTTTCCCTCTCCTTTTCCTTCCCTCCCTTCCTTTTTCTCTCTCTTTTCTTTCTCTTTTTCCTTTTCTTTCCTTTCTTCTGTCCTTCCTTCCTCTTTTTTCTTCCTTCCCTCTCTTATTTTCTTTCTTTGCATTTAACCCAAGCAACCTGAACTCTCAAGCAACTGGCAAAAATATATCTGATTTCTGATATTGCACTTCCCACACTTCATATTTCCTCATATTGCACTTCCCCACCTTATTGAAAGTCTAACTCCACTGTTCCATCCCCTGCCACATGTTGCTGTGGCCCAGTCTGGTAACCTGGAAAATCAAGTAATGAGAAAGTGTTGGTTTCTAATCTATGTAATGTCTTTCTGCTTGTGGGTCAACAGTATTTCTTGCTGTTTCTTTGTCAGTGTTGATGTGGAGATTGTCCAGTTTGCCTACTCTGGAACATGCAACATGGAAATTGTCCTTCTTTACGGGTCTCTTTCAAATCTATGATACTATATCTCTCTGTTTGTGAATAATTTCTATCTATCTAATCTACGGCTGGATGGCTCTTTGTCAGGAGGGCTTTGATTACGTTTTCTTGCCCTGGTGAAGGGAGTGGGACTGGATGGCCTTCAGTATGGGGGTTCTGTGTGGGAAGTTTGCCCCAGTTCTGTCGTTGGTGGGGTTCAGCATGCTCTTTGATTGTAGGTGAACTATAAATCCCAGTAACTACAACCCCCAAATGTCAATGTCCCCCAAACTCCATCTGTGTCCATATTTGGGTATATGGAATATTTGTGCCAAGTTTGGTCCAGAACCATCATTGTTTGAGTTCACAGTACTCACTGGATGTAGGTGAACTACAACTCCCATACTCAAGGTCAATGCCCAACAACCCTTCTAGTGTTTTCTGTTGGTCATGGGAGTCCTGTATGCCATGTTTGGTTCAATTCCATCATTGGTGGAGTTCAGAATGCTCTTTGATTGTAGGTGAACTATAAATCCCAGTAAATACAACTCCCAAATGTCAAGGTCTATTTCCCCAAACTCCATCTGTGTTCATATTTGGGCATATGGAATATTCGTGCCAAGTTTGGTCCAGATCCATCATTGTTTGAGTCCACAGTGCTCTCTGGATGTAGGTGAACTACAACTCCCAAACTCAAGGTCAATGCTCAGCAAACCCTTCTAGTATTTTCTGTTGGTCATGGCAGGCCTGTGTGCCAAGTTTGGTTCAATTCCATCGTTGGTGGAGTTCAGAATGCTCTTTGATTGTAGGTGAACTATAAATCCCAGTAACTACAAATCTCAAATGTCAAGGTCTATTTTCCTCCAAAATCCATCTGTGTTCGTATTTGGCATATGGAATATTTGTGCCAAGTTTGGTCCAGATCCATCATTGTTTGAGTCCACAGTGCTCTCTGGATGTAGGTGAACTACAACTCCCAAACTCAAGGTCAATGCCCACCAAACCCTTCTAGTGTTTCTGTTGGTCATGGGAGTCCCGTGTGCCACATTTGGTTCAATTCCATCATTGGTGGAGTTCAGAATGCTCTTTGATTGTAGGTGAACTATAAATCCCAGCAACTACAACTCCCAAATGACAAAATCAATTTTTTTTGAGTGAAGGACATACAATGGGTTGTTAGGTGTATGCTGTCCAAATTTGGTGTCAATTGGCCCACTGGTTTTTGAGTAAACAAACATTATATTTGTATTTATTTAGATGTTTTCCTCCTTGCAGGGCTATATGAAGCCTCTGAAACAACCAGAAAACTCCATCCTCTGTGACCCTTCCTTGGTGGATGAGATCTTTGACCAGATTCCTGAGCTTTTGGAGCATCACGAAGAGTTCCTGGATCAGATCTCGGAGTGCGTGCAGAACTGGCACGAGAAGCAGAAAGTGGGAGACATCCTGGTACAGTCTGTGAGTACAGCTGCCTGGACCCTGTGCGCATGCAATGTGCTTCTTCAGGAGCCTCGTGGGCTCATAGCTCTAGGCTGGTGGAAAAAGGGAAAGGGAGGAGAGAGGAAAGAATGCGCGAAATGGATCCAAACAGGGAGAAATGTACACAAAAATGAAGTGCACAGATATAGCATGGTTCTTGGAGTCCTTGTGGACAACAAATTAAACATGAGCCAACAATGTGATGTGGCGGCAAAAAAAGCCAATGGGATTTTGGCCTGCATCAAGAGGAGCATAGTGTCTAGATCTAAGGAAGTCATGCTCCGCATGCTCTATTCTGCCTTGGTTAGACCACACCTGGAATCACACTGTGTCCAATTCTGGACACCACAATTGAAGGGAGATGTTGACTCTAAGCTGGAATATGTCCAGAGGGAGGGCGACTGAAATGATCAAGGGTCTGGAGAACAAGCCCTATGAGGAGAGGCTTAAAGAGCTGGGCATGTTTGGCCTGCCAAAGAGAGGGCTGAGAGGAGACATGACAGCCATGTATAAATATGTGAAGGGAAGCCATAGGGAGGAGGGAGCAAGCTTGTTTTCGGCTGCCCTAGAGACTAGAACACAAGAGTGATGGCTTCAAATGACAGGAAAGGAGATTCCACCTGAACATTAGAACTTCCTGACTTAGAGCTGTTAAGCAGTAGAACTCTCTGCCCTGAAGTGTGGTGGAAGCTCCTTCTATGGAGGCTTTTAAACAGAGGCTGGATGGACATCTGTTGAGGGTGTTTTGAATGTGATTGTCCTGTTTCTCGGCAGGGGGTTGGACTGGATGGCCCATAAGGTCTCTTTATGATTCTATGAGACCTGGCTTGGAACAGTCCATGTGAAAGGGATCTAGGAGTCGTAGTGGACTACAATCTGAACATAAGCCAACAGTGTGATACTTATTTATCATGTCAGAAGCAAATTGAGAATACAATTATAATGTATTTAGAAAATCACAAACAAAGTTAAAAACTTGATATTATACTAAATTTCCTTTGACCAGAAGCTGGCCATTTGGAGTGCCTCTGGTGTCGCTGCAAAAAGGTCCTCCTTTGTGCATGTGGCAGGGCTCAGGCTGCATTGTAGGAGGTGGTCTTAAGCTTAAGTGGCTGAGGGGCAAAAGGAAAGGTCCTGAGGCTGTTAGGAATTGTGGGAGTTGGAGTCCAAAACACCCAGAGGGCCCAAGTTCACCCATGCCTGATCTACACCCACGTACTTCCCAGTTGTGGTGCTATTGCCTCCTATTGCAGAATTCCAACATTGGGTGATTGATTATATAAGGTAAAGGTTTTCCCCTGACATTAAGTCCAGTCGTGTCCAACTCTGGGGGTTGGTGCTCATCTCCATTTCTAAGCTGAAGAGCCGACATTGTCCTTAGTTTCAGAAAAAACATCTATTTCTGTTTTATTGACTAGTCTAAAGGCTTTGACTGTGTGGGTCATAATAAATTGTGGTAAGTTCTCAGTGGTATGGGGATACCAAGCCACTTTGTCTCTCTCCTGAGGAATCTGTATAAGGACCAAGTAACAACAGTCAGAACTGGCCATGGAACAACAGACTGGTTCAAGATTGGGAAAGGCGTACGGCAGGGTTGTCTACTCTCACCCAACATATTCAACTTGTATGCAGAACACATCATGAGATGTGTGGGGTTTGACAAATGCAAGGCTGGGGTTAGAATTGTTATTTATTTACTTTATTTATATACCGCTTTTCTCAGCCCTCAGGCGACTCAAAGCGGTGAATTGTTGAAACATTAACAACCTTAGATATGCAGATGATACCACTTTGATGGCCGAAAGCAAGGAGGAGCTGAGGAACCTTCTCACCAAGGTGAAAAAAGAAAGGGCAAAAGCTGGGTTGCAGTTAAACATAAAAAAACCCAGATTATGGCAACTAGACTAATTCATAACTGGCAAATAGAGGGAGAAAACGTGGAGGCAGTGATAGACTTTGTATTTCTACAAAGATTACTCTAGATGCAGACTGCAGCCAGGAAATCAGAAGACATTTCCTTCTTTGGAGGAGAGCAATGACCAATCTTGATAAAATAGTGAAGAGTAAAGACATCACACTGGCAACAAAGGTCCGCCTAGTCAAAGCCATGGTATTCCCTGTAGTCACCTACGGATGTGAGAGCTGGACCATAAGGAAGGCTGAGCGAAGGAAGAGAGATGCTTTTGAACTGTGGTGTTGGAGGAAAGTTCTGAGAGTGCCTTGGACTGCGAGAAGATCCAACCAGTCCATACTTCAGGAAATAAAGCCCGACTGCTCACTGGAGGGAAGGATAGTAGAGGCAAAGATGAAGTCCTTTGGCCACATCATGAGAAGAAAGGAAAGCTTAAAGGAGAGAATGATGCTGGGGAAATGGAAGGTAAAAGGAAGAGGGGCCGACCAAGGGCAAGATGGATGGATGGCATCCTTGAAGTGACTGGATTGACCTTGAAGGAGCTGGGGGCGGTGACGGCTGACAGGGAGCTCTGGCGTGGGCTGGTCCATGAGGTCACAAAGAGTTGGAAGTGACTGAACAAATGAACAACAACAAGTGCTGCAGGTTGTCCCGTAGAAAGTTTTTGCAGTTTAATAAATGTTTCCCATGTTTTTATGGATGCTTTTATGATAGAATCAATTAGGAAATGATATTTATAACCCCAGAACAAAAATCATCTTACATAATATTATGTATTTCCCGTTGTGCCTACTTATTGTCCTTTGGTGTAATGAGAACACCCCAGTGGTTGTTTCCGCAATCCTGGGGCATTGAATGCAACGTTGAATAGTTATTGTGCCGTATTCAAGAACCAAAGCATTTAATCCCTTCTTGCGTGGTGACTCCTCCTGGGCATAAAAACCCAGTTGATTCAATGACTCTCGTCCAGGTGGGAACACTAGTAGGACTGAGGGCCATGTGAAAGAGTGACACATGTGGAACTGTACCTGTGCAATGTATCTGTTGCACAAAACAGCTCAAAAAAGCCACACGTGGGAGGGGAGCAACACGGGGTTTACAGGTAGGAACGTGGCTTTCCTGGCTTGCATGCACGTGCTCTGGCTGTTATGATGGCCGGTAATTACCAGAGGAAAAAAGGAGAAAAGCGGGGGATTTGTTGACCCAGTTTATATTCTGTCACATGTTTGCATCTGAGACCAGGCAGTCTCCGTGGACTATACGCGACCTTTCCTTCTACCTGTTCTCCCTGCTCCAAATGTTCTAATTTCCGAGAATCAATTGCTTTTCAAGGAAATCCAATCAAAGGGCATCTCATAGGTACACAGCAAGGCATTGCTGTCGTTGTTGTGTGCTTTCAAGGCACTTCTGGGTTTTTCTTAGCAAGATTTCTTCCAAAGAGGTTCACCATCGCCTTCTTCTAAGGTTGAGAGAGTGTGCCTTGCCCAAGGTCACCCATTGGGTTCTCATAGCCAAATGGGGAGTTGTCCATTAATCTCCCAAAATCTTTTTTTTTGTTGTTGTGTCAGGAGCGACTTGAGAAACTGCAAGTCACTTCTGGTGTGAGAGAATTGGCCATCTGCAAGGATGTTGCCCAGGGGACATCCTGATGTTTTGATGTTTTACAACCCTTGTGGGAAGCTTCTCTCATGTCCCCGCATGGGGTGCTGGAGCTGCCGGAGCTCATCCATGCTCTCCCCAGATTCGAGCCAAGTTTCATTACTCTCCGTCCATAAGAAGTGGGTCAGGGGAAATCTTGAATGAACACCCCTCATACAACTAAAATACTCCCAACAGATGACCATTCGGCCTCTGATTAAAGACCTCCAGAGACCATGATTTTGTCATTTGGGAGTTGTAGTTGCTGGGATTTATGGTTCACCTACAATCAAAGAGCATTCTGAACTCCATCAACGATGGAATTCAACCAAACTTGGCACACAGAACTCCCATGGCCAACATAAAATACTGGAAGGGTTTGGTGGACATTGACCTTGAGTTTGGGAGTTGTAGTTCACCTATGTCCAGAGAGCACTGTGGACTCAAACAATGATGGATCTGGAACAAACTTGGCACGAGTACTCAATACGCCCAAATATGAACACAGATGGAGTTTGGGGAAATAGACCTTGACATTTGGGAGTTGTAGTCACTGGGATTCACAGTTCACCTACAATCAAAGAGCATTCTGAACCCCACGAACGACAGAATCGGGGCAAACTTCCCACACAGAACCCCCATGACAAACAGAAATACTTAAGGCCACCCAATCCATCTCCTTTCATCAGAGCAAGAAAATGTAATCAAAGCCCTCCTGACAAAGAGCCATCCAGCCATAGATATTGATAGATAGATAGATAGATATGATTCACACACACACAGATATAGTACCATAGATTTGAAAGGGACCCCTAAAGAAGGACTATGATATGCTGCATGTTCCAGAGTAGGCAAACCAGACACTCTCCACATCAACACTGACAAAGAAACAGCAAGAAATACTGTTTACCCATAAGCATCAAGACATTACATATATTAAAAACTAACACTTTTGCATTATTTTATTTCCCAGATCAACAGACTGGGCCACAGCAACGCGTGGCAGGGGACAGCTAGTACAGAATAAGGCTTGTTCTTCTTCATCCAAATGAGAGAGCAGTAGAAATGGTTGAGCAAAAGTATTCAAAAAACCACACAGTTATACCCAACCTGGTGTGGTCCAAACTTACTAGTTGACCTACATTAACAGCTGCTCATAATAATTAACAGCACATACTTGATCCTGTTACGACTTACTGTAACACTCTTTTCATGGAACTTGTATCTGTTGCTTCATTTCTTAATCTCTGAAAACAAATTTGCCCCTTCCTCCTCCATGTGACACCCCTTCAGATATTTAAACATGGCTCTCATGTCCCTTTCTCTCAGCCTTCATTTCTCCAAACTAAACATACACAGTTCCCTAAGCCACTCCGCAAAGCTCCTGGCTTCCAAACCTTTGATCGTTTTGGTTGCCTTTCTCTAGACA